GTCATAGAACACTTACTAGAAGCTAAGATGAAGCAAACTTTGAACATGTTTTTGTGAAGTTTAAGAAACCAATACATATTATTGACTTTCAAATTTCAGAGGAGGCCTTAAACTGGGCTGTGGTAGTGACATGATTATTTACTATTTGACTCTCTGTGGAGCGCTCGTCCTTGAATGTAGATGAATGTATAATTTCATTCTTAAGAACTTCATTGTAGTTTTTGCGTTATACCACTACCACATTGGTTGCTGCTTAGTCGGCCGGTACGAACACTAAACGCTTTGCAAGTACTTGAATTTTGTTTTTAATCCTAGCAATGGGCGTATTACTTACACTTTTTATAATTTCTAAATTATTTTCGAAATACTATATGCGAATTTCCACAATATTCAGACATTTATCTAAATAGAAATCAAGTGACTTTTTGCCAGATTTTTCTCGTTTACACCAATTTTTGCGATAGGATGGAATAAATAAACCATACTTTCACTACAACTACTAATTGTTTACTTTTTTCACATTGTGACTTGGATGGAGAGTTGTCTCATTGGCACTCATACCACATCTTCTTATTTCTATCTACATACTTTCACGACTACAAGCCTATTTCTTTTATATCACTTTCTTTCACAAACGGACCGAAAATAAGTTTTATTCTTTGTTAACACCTTAATGATAATTATAATAGCTTTTTATAGCTGCATGAAAAAAAAAACGATATTAGACAAACGTCTGATAAAAATATCTACTTATTATATTCGGCACAAACCCGTCAACCTAGTCAATCCCGAGTTTCAAATCCACATGCAAGAAAATTGATATTTTCCCTACTTTGACCTAATATTATATATATCGTGGAGTCAATAATGTTCAAATCTCTGTTTTGAATCTTATATTGTCTTTTGATTTTGATTTTGATTTTGATTTTGATTTCAATTTTAATCTATATGATAGCTAGATATCATAAAATCTTACCCGATGAGCATTATAATTCAACGTTATTACATTTAAAGCAAAGTGAATGTGTAGACTAGCATTGACATTATATTTATCTAGCATTTGTGCCAATTCTCGCAAGGTAAGTATTTCTGTTATTATCGGTCGTCCCACTGTCTATATCACTCTGTTCAGCTCTAAATAAAATTGCATATCACGGCTTTGTGAGGTCAAATACGTTGACCCGGCCTTAATAACTTTGACCCGGACATATCAGCGACGTCATAATGTTTGAACCGACGTTGATAAGTTTGACCCGAACTTATCAAGTCATCTTCCGGTTTGCTGGTGAAACAAAGAAAACACTTCCAAAATACGCAAATACAGCCCGATAAATCGATTATCAGGTTGTCTGCATATTGAGATTGTAAAATATCAGCTGCTCGACACAATATGAAGGCTTTTTGAACTCGTTCGCTGCGCTCACTCGACAAAAAACTTCATATTGTGACTCGCAGCTGATATTTTACAATATCAATATGCAATCAACCTAATAATCGGTACTTATCCTCCTTTTCATAGCGACCTATCATCAGGTTTCTTTTAACTTTGTGTAGTTTCCCATCCCAGATATATTTAAAGATTCTGTTTTCTATTTCTTTTAGATAATTTTCTGAAATTAAAGGGGGGGGGTTAAAAATGGTTGACTTTAAAAGTTATTTTGTGGCTTTAAAAGCATCATGGGTAAATACATTGGTAAATGGTAAACTTGCGACTTGTAAGCTTATACCATTTAAAAAATATTCAAATGTTTCAAACAAAATTCTGTCAATATTTAGCATGAATTTGAGCGATATTAAATCTCTAAAATAAATTATAGATGTTTCTGAGTTTTATAAAGAAGTAATAAAGTCCTGGAATTTGACTGGCGGGGGGCAAACAAAACAACCAGATACATTTGTTGATATTTAAAAAAAAATAATATGGGGGAATACATTTATAAAATTTGGTAATAAACCAGTTATATTTCAGAACTGGATTAAGAGTGATCTGATTTACACAAATGATATCTTAGATGATACAATGTCATAATCGGAAATCTACATTCTAAACAAAAAAAAGTAAAATCACAAAAATACTGAACTCCGAGGAAAGTTCAATCGGAAAGTCCCTAATCACATGGCAAAATCAAATGACAAAACACATCAAACGAATGGACAACAACTGTCATATTCCTGACTTGGTACAGGCATTTTCAAATGTAGAAAATGGTGGATTGAACCTGGTTTTATAGCGCTAAACCTCTCACTTGTACGACAGTCTCATCAAATTCCGTTATATTTACAACGATGCGTGAACAAAACAGACATAATAAATAAAATAGTCAAAATGTGAGTACAGCAGTCATCACTGTGTTACGATATCAAAACAAACAATCATTTACAAAAAAGCAAAAAAGCATCTATCAAATTAAAAACCACATTCATTGCTTCGCGTGTCTGACGTCAGAAAATGTAAACGTCACATAAGAAGAAATTTTGTCGTTCAATGTTTATTCAAAACAATTTAATAATTTCACATGGGGAATGTTGGTATACAGGGTTAAAAAATCAAAAGTTATGTTAGAATTAATTTCAGAAATAGACCGAGATTTAAAATTGTCCAGAAGTTCTTTAGAATTTTTGAGAATCCACATATGGTTAGTACCACTACGCGAGTAAAATAAATTTGTCGTTTGTCGTTCAAAGTATTTTCAAATTTATAATAGAACAATAACATAATGACATATAATAGAACAATGACATAATGACGGGATCTTTTAAAGTACAGAGTCACGTTATAAGAACCAAAGAAACACAAAAAGTCGCATATACAAAACACACCAGCAAAAATGAAAGATAATACAAACACATTGACGGGATGTATAAGTACCGAGCCACGTCAAATGGATATCACAGAAAACAAACCAAACAGTAAAAGTGATATTAAAAATAGAACAAAGACAAATGAAAGAACAATATAACACGTTGTTAAGATGATAAACAACGTCAGTACGCAGAATCTATACTTCAAGACCATCATGTATTATTTGTGAAGTTGATACGGAATATTTATCAACAAGGTCTTGGTACCTTCCGATGAACTTTTTTAGAAAAAGGACGAGACGTTCTTTGACATGCCCCTGGTTCATCAACTTTCTGCTCAGACACTGGTGACGTTTTACAAAGTCTGAGTAGGAGCTGCAAGCTCTTGAATATCGAATAAGTTGGGAAATGTATATCCCATATGCAGGTGAAGTTGGTATATTGCTACTAAGGTGGGTGAAATTTATAATTTTAAAATTAAAATCGTCTCGTTTGTCATAGATTCTGGTACTGAGATGACTGTGTATGTCAAATTCGAGATATAAGTCTAAAAATGAGGCGGAGGAAGCCGTGTCTGTTGTTTCTTTAATTTCTAGTTCTGGGGGATATATTAATGGAACCCAATCAGAAAAGTTCGGGTTGTTAATGGAAAGAACATCATCAATATATCTGAAAGTGAAATTAAATAATCTGGCTTCTTTGATCTTCTTGTTTTTGACAAGTATCTGAAGGAACTCCGATTCATATGAAAATAAGAAGAGGTCGGCAAGGAGAGGCGCACAGTTCGTTCCCATAGGAATGCCGACAATTTGTTGAAAAAGTCTAACAAATTAAAGTTCAAAATAAACTGGATCGCTGAATTTCATAAATTAAAAAAATCTATCCCAAAAGAATAGATCCAAGTTGTTCAAAAAGAAAATTCGGTTTAAAGTACAGTTAATATTCAAGGAAATAAGATTATATGGAAAAATCATTATACCGAGACTCCATAATAAACAAATTAAATATTATATAACTTTAATGAATATAAAAAAAGAGCCATCAATGAGGATAAACAGATGGCTTAGAATCCTAGAAATACATAAACTCTGAATATGAATTCATTGTACCAATTTATTTTTGAATATCTGACTGAAAATATATTAAAAATAATTTTTGACAATTTTACCTATTATGTCTGTTTATTTTGCTCACACGTTTTTGTCAATATAATAAAATGCTATTCGACTGTCATACAAGTGAGAGGTTTAGCTAGCTATAAAACCAGGTTTAATCCACCATTTTCTACAGGAGGAAATGCCTATACCAAGTCAGGAATATGACAGTTGTTTTCCATTCGTTTGATGTATTTGAGCTTTTGATTTTGCCATTTCATAAAAGACTTTCCGTTTTGAATTTTACTTGGAGTTCGGTATTTTTGCTATTTTACTTTTTGGTCATATTTGACTACATTTTGGACAAAAAATTTAAGACCTCTTTAAAAGAAGTAAAATAGATTTTGTTATTAAATTACAACATCTTATATTTGGATGTAAGATCACAGATAGTAAATATTACTTTTTGAATTATCTAATAACGATACTTAGTTCTTCTATCTATAAGTCATGTTATGTATCCAAGCAGAGAACACACATTGTTGATGTCTATAGTATTTTTGATGATGAATTTAGTAAGAGAGTAGACTCAGATAGATATAAATCAACATGTCCAATGTTATTGTCAATTAAAAAGAATTTTAGCACTAATTAGATTTGTATAGGACACTTATACATTTTAACAAGTTAATAAGTTGAATCAGCTGTTTATTTCCCTGGAAAATCAGTGGAGTGTAACAGGGTAAATCAAAAGAAACTTGGACTCTTGGTGAGATTTGTAAAAAGCAAGATTTGATGAATAAATATCATTATTGTTTAAAAAAAGTATTTCTGTTATTATCAATCTAATGTTCTACATTCAAAATCTTTCAGAGATTATTAAAAATATCTGTTTCAAGTGCAATTATTGTTTGACTTAAGTCGTTAATGTTATTGTGCACACACACACACATTGGTTTAAAAAATACTAAAAAGTGAACCCTTTAATATCTACATGATTAAATTGTTGAATATGCTGAGGGATCCTCAATTAAATAAATCCTACAACTTTTTAGTTTGATATCTAGTTTTAAATTCCGACAAATTACAATTACTGAATATTACCTCCTAAATCAACAACCATATATTTAGTACCAATATCAGCTACTGTAAATCCCTTTTCTGCTCCTTCCAATTTTTCTGTAGGTAAATACTGACAGTATATCGATGCTGCTTCGGGTTCCAGGGCTATTCGTAATCTATTCGATGGTATTCCTGCCTGCAACGTTAAAAAGTATATAAAAGTAAGTTTTTCAATTGACATGAAAGAACTCATCAAAGATATCTGGATTATTATTGTGTATTTCAGAAGCTCGTTTCGTCTGCAAAAAGGCTCATCGGTGATCATTAGAAAATATTATCCGATTTAAGTTTTCTTTAAAAGTAATATTATGCATGCGACTACTAACTGCACTCAAAAAAAGAAATTCTCAGTGGAATCTTAGTTTAAAGGATACTTAATGTAAGATGTTTTATGCATACGGGCCCGACATTTTATTAACAGAGCAAAATTCAATACTAAGTAGGCATGAATGTGTATCTTTACATCCCCATACAAACAAAACAGTAGATTGAAAAAGCACTAAATTATATTTCTATAAATCCAATATAACAATGATTGATAAAATGTACAATTATTTCCAATTCTAGTGCATCATCTCCTCCTAACCGTTTCCATGCTGATGCGATATACATGGATGTGAAGACAAACGTTACCGATGACTTTTATTTTAATACAAGTTTAATGGGATGGATGCGATCAACGTAGTCAACATAGTCACTTAACCATGAAATTTTCAACGAGAGGACATATTCTATACAATGGACGTTTAGTTACTAAAAATAACTAATTTCTTCTCATTCTCGTTGAGAAGCTCCTGTATGAAGTCTGACCTATACCAACAAAGGTGCACGTCAACAAGAAGAGGAGCACATGTGGTCCCTATAGGAAAGCTTATGTTTGAAAAGAAGCCGAATAATGCTAAAATTATATTTTTTGTACCTCATCGGAATTCAAACCTGTTTGTTCTAAGTACCAGTAAAGAAGAATCAGACTATCCTTACGTAGCACCTGAGTTCATCCAGATTTTTAGTCGAATTCGTCTTGCTCAGTTTACAGATCGGTACTTATACATCTTCGGATTTCAAATGTTTGGCTTTGAGCGTTCCTGATGAAGGTAAACCAGAAAAGCGCTTCGGACGCAAGAAATTATTAAACGTGTTGTTTTCAATTTTTTACAGTTTTTTGTCGTTATTGTTATTTATAGAAATTCATTATTTTGATTAACACGAGGTATCTTTTTATCAAGGAGAATTATTATTTAATCTATAAAAAGTAATTCTATACACCCACATTCATAAAACTATATTCTGAAAGAGGGCTAATACAATAGTTACCAATGATATAATGAAGAAGTCATTCCAAAAGTAATCAGCCGATATTTGAATAATTATGTGATATGATTCTGATGCGCCACATGACATTCCTTAAGATATTTTCTTTACATGACACCCATTTTAGTGCATCGCTTTTCTTTCGAATATTCGATATCGTACTTTTTAATGCTCTTCAACTTCGTATTTGATTCGAGTGCCACTCTTAATTATTGGGTAGATGAAACGCGCGTCTGGCGTAGCTAATTATAAGCTTGGTATCGTTGTTCAATTTTAAGTAACGACATCTTTGAAAAAGGATCTGTTCAATGTATTCCTAAAGAGTATATCAGATACAATTACAGTTGTTATTATCTATATAACATAAACGTAGTATAATTGCATATGAGACAACTATCCATCAGAGATTTAATGACGTCGATGTACGCAAATAAAGGTAAGCGTATGAACAAAAATGAGCAAACCCAATACCGTATAGTAAGCCATAAAAGGCATCAACTTGACAAAATGTGAAACATTTGAAAACGAACCGGTTGATTTACACCAAAACAATAAACGAAAGACAAATATGGTAGATGAACTCATCATAGATACCATGATACCTATACAGCGACAATCTAAAGCATTTAAAACATACCTCTTGACAAAAGATCTATACACACAGACAGGACACTCAATTGTTTCAACTGATACAAAAACGATAAACTATCGTATTTCGAGAAATCAGCATGCCTTCGAAAACTATTCTTTTATTCGTAACGACAAATATATATTTCGAATTTTCAAATACTATTAAAGAGACCAGTTTTCCTACACTAGATGAGCATTTCGACAATTTTATATTATCTGATCAGTTATGCTTGAACAAATTATATTTGAAAATCCAAAATTTGATACAAACTTTGAAGAGCTGATAAAACCAAAACAGACCCAAATTATAGTTAAACAAGATGATGAATCAGAGCTATGTGTGAGGTATGATTAGAGCCATCATTTGGCATCTGAAATGGTAAAAGAAGCAAAAACTATTCACAGAAACCAGGCTAATTATAATTTGGTACGCCAAACGCATAATTCATCTACATGAGATTCATCAGTGGCGCTTAAATCAAAACAGTTGCACTGCCAGATTAAATATTACGAAGCTGAGGAGCATAAATAAAAGAAAGTTCCGAAAAAGTTGTGCAAAATACGGCTAAGGAAATCCATCAGGGTTGGCAAAGTATTACCCGGTTGGGAAAACCCGGGCAATACTACCTGAAATAAGTAATACTGGGCAATACTGAGCTATATGATTTTTTAAGTTTACTAGTATCTTTACACAGAATAGTTAAAAAAATATTGCAGTTTTATAGTATTATTGCTAAATATATACATCTTATACAGATAAACTTAGAAAACGAATATTGTAGTTTTATAGTATTATAAACATATGCTTGAATTTACGAAGATCAAACAGAATACCAGCTCGGACGTCACTCTGCATAAAATTGCCCCAAAACAGACGTTACCATGGACACGGTGTCGTCTGATATGGTAGGTATCCCCTCATCACTAGACATGACAAATATCTCAAATATGACTCATTCAGATCATCATACTAATGACAACATCAATAATCTTCGTACGCGGCTGTGTTCAGTTCGTCTACAAGACATTTTGTATTTTAATGACTCTGAACAACACAGTCTTATTTCGAAATATAAAACCAAAAAACTGCAAAACCTGTAAAATTTTAATAACAGATGCTCAATTCTCTAGCAGTTTAACTAAAAAATCTGACTTTACCAGAAACTACGATGATCTGAATTGTAAATAAACAAATCTCGTCTACGGATTAGAGTTTAACCTTTGCAGATTGGTATATGTTTGTGAAACGAATGGAAGGCTTAACAAACGTATGTGCGTCCATAGATCAGACATCAACAACAACGTAAGCGAATTCTTTACTAGCATTTTAATCAGCCTGATCATTCGATCCTTTCTATGCATTATCGAAAAAATATATAACAATCCTCATCTTGCTACACCTCTCCGTAGTTAAAAGGAAGACTACTAGATTCGACAATTTGGAACTGCGACACCATATGGTTGCAAGGACAAAATTGATGGTATAGGTATTCTATCTAGTCCTTCCTGTAGCTCGGTGAATGTGATGATCATTTCAACTCGACTCTTCGACGTAGATGCAGTCATGGTCATCGTCATTATACATCAGCTACTCTCCATGATTTCTCTATTGATGACCTGCTGCCATTTATACAAAAGCCGTTAGGTAATCATGCCATTTGCACGAAGATTTATTCATTACCCCTTCATTCTATTGACAACTTATGTTTGGACACCACCGTTACAAACACCCATTCAAACCTGATAGCTATCATCTCGGATATTGCAAGTCACAGACTTTTCAAACCAGTTCATTGGAAATGATGAAAATTAGAAAAGATCCTTTCTAAAACTTTTCTTTGCTAACAAAGGTCTCGATTCCATCACTTAGGCAATATCCTTCATCATAAATCAGTTCCATATTTTAAAGATCAGTCTGTACCTATCATTTCTTATACCTATACCAAACCAATTGCAACTAAAATTTTCAATTACAAACACGTGTTGCAGAATCTCAGTATTGACCACTTCAAGTCTAAACCTCCTGATTGCACCTGTGCTAGTTTCCCTTTCATATATAATCCGACTGGCCACGTTATTATAATTACTTGTGACCTTAATAACATAAACGGTACCTATTTTGCTGCACCAGCTGCGCATTTCGACAATCAATGCCTTTTCAGTGATGCTCGAGGCCAAAATATTTGAAAATCCAAAGCTTATTAAAAAAATGAAGAACTATTAACCAAAAAAGACAAAAACGTATTGCCAAAGACGGGTAAAGAATCAGAGCTTTGCATGAGAGAGATACATTCTTCTATTTTAGATGAATTCAAACATTTTGTAACAGGAAATTTCAATAACACAAAATCCGTTTTTTCATGAAAATCCAAAGCTTATTAAAAAAATGAAGTGCTTTTAACCAAAAAAAGATAAAAAAAAAGTATAGCCAAAGCTGGGCAAGGAATCAGAGCTTTGCATGAGGGAGATACATTCCTCTATTTTAAATAAAATTTCAATAACACAAAATCCGCATTTTCATGCCAGTACCGAAGTACTGGCTACTGGGCTGGTGATACCCTCGGGGACTATCAGTCCACCATCAGAGGCATCGACCCAGTGGTAGTAATAACATAAACGGTACCAATTTTTCTCCACCAGATGCGCATTTCGACAATCAGTGTCTCTTCAGTGATGCTCGAGGCCAAAATATTTGAAAATCCAAACCTTATTAAAAAAATGAAAAGCTATTAACCAAACAAGACAAAAAAGTATAGCCAAAGCTGGGCAAGGAATCAGAGCTTTGCATGAGGGAGATACATTCCTCTATTTTAAATAAAATTTCAATAACACAAAATCCGCATTTTCATGCCAGTACCGAAGTACTGGCTACTGGGCTGGTGATACCCTCGGGGACTATCAATTCACCAGCAGAGGCATCGACCCAGTGGTAGTAATATTAATAACGGTGCCAATTTTTCTCCACCAGATGCGCATTTCGACAATTAATGTCTCTTTAGTGATGCTCGAGGCCAATATATTTGAAAATCAAAAGCTTATTAAAAAAATGAAGAGCTATTAACCAAAAAAGACAAAAAAGTATAGCCAAAGCTGGCCAAGGAATCAGAGCTTTGCATGAGGGAGATACATTTCTCTATAATAAATAATAAATTTCAATAACACAAAATCCGTATTTTCATGCCAGTACCGATTTCGAAGTACCGCCTACTGAGCTGGTGATACCCTCGGGGACCATCAGTCCACCAGCAGAGGCATAACATTATCAATAACACTTTCTCTGCAAAATGTGTTATCCAAAGGCCCGAAATAATTGTCAGTCTTAATCCATCAATTAGAAATAAAACTTAAAAATACTGATAGACTCAGTCGATGATTATGCCAGGCAATGGGTTAAAAGTAAAATACCAAAACATACCGAACTCCAAAGAAAATTCAAAACGGACCGATGATTATCCAAGATTTCCTCCTTGGTAAGTGTCGTGAGCGTATATGTTGAGTTTCCAAGTGAATTGTCTATCTTTTTATTCTCAAACAGCCAATGCACAACATTGGTACAGAGATACAATAACATTTGAAAAAAAAAAGAAAAACACAAAATTTACAATATACAAACTTTACATGTATATACAACTAACAATATATACCTTTTCTGCGCTGCTTCGCATGAATTGCTTGGCACCGTCTGACCATATGGCGGGAACAGTAAGAACCCAACGGATATCATCAATATCTATTTCAGCAATCTGCTCTCTAATTTTGTTTAGAAAATGGTCTTTTAGAGCTTTTATTGACAAAGAAAATACGTCTAAAGCCATGGCGCTCTTTCCTGTTATATCTTCTATGATCAATTCCTTGCTTAAATTCTGTCAAAAATAAAATGTGAAACTGGAGAAACTGGAGAAACTCAAAAGTAGCGCTCAAATCAAAACAGTTGGAAGGCAAGACACTTGTCAATATAATGGAATTTGATGCTTCTGTCATACAAGTGAGAGGTTTAGGTAGCTATAAAACCAGGTTCAATCCACCATTTTCTACATAAGAAAATGCCTGTACCAAGTCAGAAATATTACATTTGTTATCCATTCGTTTGATATGTTTGAGCTTTTGATTTTGCCATTTGATTAGTGACTTTCCGTTTTGAATTTTCCTCGAGGTTAAGTATTTTTGTGATTTTACTTTTCACTTTCTTGTTCAGACATTTATACCACATTATGAAAAAAAACGTACGATTAAACATGCCAAGCATAGATTGGTTGCCGTATTTGGACGGCAACTTCCTGTCGGTTTATTGTTAAAAATGAATGAAGACAGGCTAATGAACATCAAAAAGTCACATAAATGACAGCGAACAAATATTGCTACCAATTTTCTCTGGTTGTGTTATAGGGATATCGACATATTATATTGAGTAAACTGATCTATGCGAAAAGTTAAATTCAATATAATTTTGTAGCATAAGAACTTGGTTTTTATGTGTAAAGTCTTTTATAAGCAAAACCTTATTAGTCCTTTCATCATTAAATACAATGAATCTTTTGACAAATGTTTCTTAACTATCTGAGAACAGATTATTAGTTATTTGCCAAAATGTCTTTATTTTAGTATTCGGAACTGTATATTCGGAAACACCAGAAGATATCTTTTTATTATCTAAAGAATTGTAGGATCAATAATTTTTTTTATTCACTTAATATCTACAGACCAACAAAACATATGCAAAGAACCAATTTTTTTTAATGATATTAAAGTCTAGAGCTACTGGTATGGCAAGATATTAATAGAAATTACATGGAAGGTTGTCAGGAAATAAATATATACAATATAAATGCGTTTTTTCTTCAAAAACTGTGTGGTATTTTTTCTGGTACTGTTAAATGTAAAAGAAAAAGAACAAAGATGATGAGAAATTATGAAGAAAAAAAAAATATGAATAAAAGAAGTTGTCAGAGAAAATTTGCAGGTATCTCCTTCTTGAAATTCACATTTGTTCATAAATAAGTTTAAAATTACCATAGATAAAGGTAGAAACGAATCACTTTGAGAATCATAGCAACTTACGGGTCAGAAGATGGTTTATCTTAGTAATATGATATATTACGTTGTAGTGATTTAGCAAAAAAACACATACAAAAATCACTCTAATTCAATGATATCTAGGTGATGTTAGGCGGTAATTAGCAATTTGGAAAAAAACAATCAGTAACTTTAACGGTCCTGAGGAGTAGCTATCAAAGGCAATGTTCAATATTTAGAACATGAACTTGGTTTTTGACTGTAACCACTATCTTCTGCCAAAGGATCAAGGACCACATATCAAAAGATTCAATGACTGTATGAATTAGGTTTACGAATTACATCGCATACTTATTATGTCCATTGAATAAAGGGAAATAACTCCTGCAACATGTTACTGGATCGCTTCTAACAAAAATTGATTGAAATATCCTGCAGGTATATCAATCAATTTGAAAAATTAATACATCGATATATTCAATGGTTTTGACGGAGGTATCACAAAAAGGGGTAAGGGGAGATAAATCTCATAGGGGTAAGTGTTCAGTTACACAGGTTCAACAGGAAAAACATAATTCTTATTCGGTATCATGTGTAAAAAAAAGTATGTCGCAAAATCAAAGAAATCTCAAGACCATACAACGAAGAAAAGTGGAAAGACCTGATACAATATAGCGTCAAAGCAAAAAAAAAAAAAAAAAACTAGAGAAAACGTCTAGACTGAAAAGCGATAATATATATTCTTGACTATGCAAAACATAAATCTGCCATTAAATGATATGCGATATTTTCTCCCGGTTCTGGTCTTATCTACAGTAAAAGTCGAATTTTATCTTATGATTGAATTAAACAAAAATGTCATTTTCAGCTTTTAATTAATAAAATTCGTATTTTAACAAATATTTTCTCAGTAAGCAAGAACACAGCTCAGACTCTGATACATTTTCGTGTTTGTGCTAAATCAAATGATAATTATATCTTAGAAAATAAGTAAATTTACTTTGCAGTACCTTTGCGTTATACAAACTCATCTTAAATCTGTGAAAATAATAATATTCCAAATGTTCATTCTCCTCGACAAGCTCAGAATATCTGTTTTCTGCTTCATATCCAAATGCTTTTATATTCATGTCTGAATCTAATAAGAGACAAGTTGGTGTTTTAAGCGACAAGAGTTGCCTGCTTCCGGCATTCCAGATATTAGTAAGTATATGTAAGGGATCTGCGTTCAATTTATCACGCATTGCAAATGCATACCCAGAATATGTAGTTCCAACGTCTAATGCAGCTACAATTAGGTAGTTGTCGTCTTTAACAGTAACTTCAGCCATTTTTCATTGTCACTATCGATTTATGAAAGAAACGAAATTAAAGTTTTGGAATTATAACGGAATCACATAAAAGTTTCAATGAGAATTTTCCATGATATCAATACTTTTGTGTTTTCGATATCTCATCAGTTGCTTAGAAAGGTAAGCATTAATTGTTTTTTTTTTACTTTCGGTATTAATTCAAAATAATCTTTTTAACTGGTTCAATGACTATTTACATATGACTGATTTCGGAAGCTCCTTATTCACTGTAACACTCCATTAAAGTTTTAAAAATTTTGTTACCTGTTACTAAATTCACCTGTATGAACATTATACTGACCCAGCTCACATGACATATTATATGCGTAAAATAGTGTGATAACATAATTGTTAACTGCAGAAACTTTTTTGAGACATAACCGTCTTCATGCATTCATATTCAGGCTTCTTATTAAAAAAATATCTTTTTCTACTTCTACCATATAGCAACCGCCTTCAACTAATTGAATATTATGTCACAGGAAGATAATTTACCAGACATAGATTAATACTATACAAAACAGAAAAAAAAAGAAAATTACAAGTGTACAATTAGTTGATGTGAATAGTTGACTTTTAATACTGATGTTTTGAAATTGAAGATTTGAAAGAGTCTACTGGTGTGCAATTTACGATGTTATCTGGTAGTTTGTTCCAGTCGGTTATTGTTCTTGGGAAATTAATCTGTTTTTGAATGATGTTTCACTCTTATTTGGATTTTGGATGCTCATTCCTTTATTATATCGTCAAACATTTAATCAATACAAATGATGATTACATATGGAGTCAAGGGATTTTGAGGAAGAGGATTTTTGTCATTCGATTGGCACTTGGATTTGTGTGTAATGTCGCAGCCATTTTAATGCTGTGCATAGTGCACCACGATATTAACATTGTAGGAAATGATGCGAAAGTATCATTTATAACTATTGGTTTTTTGGACTGCACTGTCGTTCATGACCATGGAATTTATGCCGTGGTTACTTGAAAGTAATGAAATAGACGATATATTTACACTAATTGTGTTGGGTGTACATAAAATACTTGAAATAGGATTTGACCTTTCATTGTTCGCCTACTGTATATGTTTATCAAACAAAATATTGACAAACATTGCAATCGCTACAATCGTACTTGCTAGCATTGATATAACTATAAGTGTCATTTCACTGATTAAGAATATGTACAGTGGCGGATCCAGAAATTTTCAAAAGGGGGGGGGGGGGGGGGGGCACTGACTGCCTAAGAGGGGGCCCGTTTCAGTCATGCTTCAGTGATTCCCTATATAATCAACCAAATTTTTCCCACAAAAGGGGGGGCCCGGGTCCCCTGAAAACCCCTCTAAATCCGCCTCTGATGTATGATATCCAATCGGACATGACTATATTGCAACGAAGAACTTTTATGGAATGCTTGTTTCGTCGTATTTTTATTCCTTTTCTATCACATTTTATTCTAAATATTTTATCGAGCCCCGGGATTGCTACATTTGATTTCAAAAAATCGTTAATAATAATCTCTACGAACAGGACAAAACATTTATTCTAGAAATAAAAGCTTTTTCATGTCAGAATAGAGTTAACACTGAGATGTACCCTTTACTTCAACATAAGATTTAAGACATTTATTTCCTTGCATAAACACATAATTTATTACACTCGATATGAACGCCTGGAGGCAATACACTGTTTTCTCAAAATTAATTCAAGAAACATTATCTGAAGTTTTGTATATAACATGGTTAAAAAAAACCTTTTTCATGTACAATAAAATGTAGGTAAATAGTTATATATTTTTCATAGAGCTAGATTTTGGATGTATGTTTGTAACAACATGAGTAAAACTGATTTAAGGGGATTCTTGCTGCTCTGTTAAGACAATTTTCTATTTTGATATTCTTTGAAATGTTATGTATATAATGATGTAGATAGATTACAAATTGAAAACAAAATAGGTGCTTATCTTTTCGACCAATGATATCAAACAACAGTGTGGCATGCTATTGAGAAGAATGGTAGACTTATTGCTTACAAATACCCGTTCAAGATAGTGTTAAAACTTTACATTGATATAACTGCCATTTCATTCTCTCAAATAATGAAAAATCTGACGTTACTTATAATTAAAGCTGATAGTTCAGTTTATTTTTCCGAACTATAATGCACACTGAATCATTTAAATAGAACGTATCAAGTATCAGTCTGCAATCGACTATTTAAACTGATATGCTTGAAACTGTCTAATATATTTTATGAAAAATATGTCGTGTTAACGCAAGCTTATAATCATTTAGAATTTATATCTATTATATAAATTGTAACACATTGGAAATATAAAGCGTGTTATTTTTTCAGTATTATTGGTTCGTTTAAAAATATGGACAAATACAATATACCGATAAATTTCACAAATTGAATGAGGAAAGGTTTGAAAGGCTATACTAGACATCTTATAATGGAAAATCAAAATATTTAAGAAACATCTTCTGTCAGAAACGATTATTATATCTGATTTAATCTTACTTTTAAGTTTTGACCTCATATTCATTGCATTGAGATAAAGTCTCATCCTTTTGACTTCTTCGATGAATATTGATTAAAGGGGATGTTGGGAATAAATCAATGAGACAGAAACCAAACAACATAAATAACCAAGATATATAAATGGCAACATAGTCTTGAACATTAGATCTGCTTTTATTTGACAGAAGCAGGCAATGACTTTTTTTTTCTCAGACGGTTAATGACTTTTTACATTAAATCCATTGATGTGTGCTGATTGATTTTAGTATTGGAAACATGATTTATTTATCTGTTGCAATTTGCCATGAACTAGCTTCCAGTAACTGAGAATACTCTTAAATCGGTAGTTTAGTGACATTGTTAGTTGTGTTGTGCAATGTGTAAGGTGTCGGTCTGATGAGTGCAGACTTTTTCAACTGATTTTTATAGTTTGTTCTTATGTAATGCTGTTATACTAATGTCACAGGTTAGGAGGAGATTTGAAAGCTAGTAAATATATTTATCCTCGCCAAATTCTCCATGTGCCCGTTTGAATTTAGGAGCCTGTCAATCAGAGATGATTGTCGTTGGGCGTTGTCTATCATATTTGTCTCTCATTTATACTACTGTTGCCTTTATTTATTGGTTTGTAAATCAGTTAAGCCGTCGGTTTTATCGTTTGAATTGTTTAACATTTTGTCATTTCGGGGCATTTTATAACTTACTTTACAGTACGGATTTTGCTATTTGCTGAAGGCCGTACGATGACTTGTTGTTATTTACATCTTGGTTATTTGGTCTCTGAAGGATATATGTATCATTGAAAATCATGCCACATTATCTTGTTTTTTTTATATCAGTCTTTAATGAATTTATTACTTGTAATGCATCATTTGACTAATCCCCGATTTAACATTCATGTAGAGATGACATCTACCGCTAGTGGAAAATAACGAGCGAAAATAAATCTGCTCAGATTTATGACCTTAAACTAATTTGCTAGAGAAAAGTCACAGAATTTTATTAGTTTACAGTAGATACGTAAGGAAGTGATATTTTGCAATTATTGCTTAACATACTATAAAGCTTTGTGAATCATTCAGCTATATTTCAAAATATGTATAAATTAAAGCAACTTATAAGTTTTGATCGCAATAAAAAACAGAACCCCAACGATCAGTATTTAAAAAAAGATTCGTCAAACTAAATTCAGTTTTGGCTATAGCCCGTGTTGTATTTGAGCATCATCAAAGTTTGAAAGCAAACTTAATAATTCTTACAATATATCACATTTAGAAGTAAGTAAAATAAATATTGAAATGTATTGTAAAATATCAGTTGCAACTCAGATATAAAGAATTTCAAGGATATAATAGAATGAGCATACACAAAAGAAATGTTTCATGGCGAATCTAGAACACTTTTTTAACAACGTCCCCTTGCATATCAGATATTTTTTTTACTAAGAACAGCTACCTTTATAATTTTATAAATAACCCTAAACCACTCCCATATATCACCCTTTTCAATCAGATTCTAGATTACTATTTAATAGCAAATCAGTACATTTAATACATATCTGAAGTACATCATCTGAATTACCAAATAGGCCAATTGTCATTCGTATTTCAGAAATTATTATTTTAAATTGATATGGCTCATTTATTAATTTGTTCATATTCAAAAGTTTGGAAGTCAAAAATCTAAAACCTGGAGAGATTTAAGTACCGAAACTGGTTTAATGGAACAGCCAACATTGTCAATATCAACTTGCGTGATGGAGTTGTTACCCTAATAATGTCAATAATGTCATTTTGCAAAATTTGAAAGGCGGAGAGGAGTTTGAAATAGCTTAAACGAAATTAGTTTAACCCAGACAAATTTGTATAGCATGTACAAGTCATGAATTTCGTCAGTAGTTACCGTATGTGATTTATTTATCTTATCCCGGGACTTTAAGCAAACAACAATTGGAGAATTTAGGAAACAATGGCAGATCTTTGATTGTTTCTTTTAAATTTGTTCATAACTTTTATACACTCTGGATGATATAGAGCTTAACATATTTTAAGACAGTTGATACGATATTCCAGAGCTTCTATTTCCTTGATAGAGAGTTGCTGTATACAAGGAAGCTGTTAAACCAAGGGAAAAAGTGGTAAAATTGAATCTTCCCATCGAAAATTTAAGCCATCACGTGTTTGTTGACCGTTGTGTAATATCTGTGTGTAACCACAATCCCATACTCTTTTCCTCGATGACATCACCGAACTACTACTAGCCATGGGCAATAAGACGGTGTTAAATCAGGAACAGGATCTGAGAACATCTGTAATCATTTCCGGTTTTCTCTGGGTAAGTGTTGCGCAATTTTTAGTTTTCTTTGTAGTGTTGGGTAAACTTGTTTAAAATACCTTCATATTTGTCAGAAATTAGATTTATAACATCTAATGGACAATTTAAATAATCGTGTACATTGAAAATAAATGAAGGTTGATTGTCTTAGAATTTATTTTTTACTGTTAGATAATATGCAATTTACGATATAATTTTAGAAGATTTTCGTTTTAGTCTTATTCACATAAAACTTGTCAATATAAGCAGATATTATGAACGTCGTTGGAATACAATGATACGTAGAGTCTATCATAAAGAAAAGTACTCGTACTTGGCGATGTTTCGGATATTGTTGAAATTTTGTTTGCATTAAGAACTCGTTGAACTACATCTGTAAATCGAAAAAAAGATATATGTTATATGATATACTTCCAGAGATACAGTCAATTAAGACTTTGTAAAAAAGTTCTCTAAATGAAAAAAAACATGTACGTAAAAAGTAGTGCAAAAATTCAATTGTGATTTCTCGAAAATCCGCCAACTGATGATATTTTATTTCTGTAAAAAGTTTCGTTTTTACAATATAAAAATGTTTGGGGTCACCGAATTTTTCAGTCATTTAATTATTAGTGATGTATGCAAAAACATGAAAAAATACAACTTTGCACGACGTTAAGATTAGTTTGTCGTTCGGACCCTTTTTCATCGGGCATATCGAGATTTATTGATGTTTACTGATACAGAAAAAAAACAATTGACCCCATACTTTTTATATAGTTAAAACAGAAAGGTTAACAGCAATAACATATTATATTAAACAAAATTCTGTGGACGGATTTTTGAGAAATTGCAATTCGGAATGTCGGAAAATGCAAATCTTTTGCCGCTGTACATGTGCATTTTATATTTATAGACTATTGTCCAAAACTTTAATTAATTGTATTTCTAGAATTATGAATGCTAAATATATCATTTATGAATGCTAAATATATAATGTTTTCGATATTCAGATGCAGGTCAACAAGTTTGAAATGCATAAATAATTTCATACAATTACGAAATACCAATTAATTACGCATACTTTACCTTAAATCATATATTATGAATATAGTGTCAGCATTTATTTATAAATAATCTTTTTAACGGGGATTTTTGCCAGGAACAAATTATAACCCGTTGCGTTATCAGTCATATATTCATGGATATGGATGGAGAGTTGTCTCATTGGCACTCATACCACATCTTCTTATTTATATGTATGTTTGTGACATCACATAAGCAAATGAATTTTGTTTGAACTTTTAATCATAGAGATAATTAAATATACTGTCAGGTACCGTTGCTTGATAAATGCTCATTTTAAATCTGCTGAATTAACACATATTTGCA